CGCCTCCCAAGTCGGTGAAGACGGCCGCCGGTTCCCGCATCGACAGCGGCGTTGCAGCGGCCTGACGCCCAAGCCGGCGTTGCCCCACCGCAGCCGGTCGACTGCACTCCCCGCGCACCTGACCACGAAGTCGGCTCCGCCCAAGCGAGGACGAAGCCACAACACAACTCCTGTTGACAGTTCGTACTCTTCAGAGACAAACTCCCCATCATGCGTCCAAGGGTTGTTGTAGCTGTTGAATTGGACCTCTGTGAAAATAAGAACCAGGAATGAATGAACTAGGAAGCAGGTGGGTACAAGTAGGAAAACCTAGAAGTGTAGTACCCCATATTGTCTACCCCACTACAGCCTACACAGACTATGTCATATAAGTTTGACACACCCCCATAGGCAAATTGGGGGAGAACAAGAGGTCACAAGACCAGTCAAGAGAGGCAAAGCAAGCTCAGGGTGGATCACGAAGTCACCACGCATTCTGAGCACAAGCAAATGGCCATAGGGCCAGTCCACATGCAGAGTTATATAGAGACAAACAAACAATACAGTGATCACAACCTAGCATGCAGGTATATGTATAAAGATCACAGTACAAGCAAAGTCAAGAAGTAAGCAAGTGAGGCCCAGTGGGCACAAGGCCTAGAATAGTACAGAAACGCTGATGATCACAAGGCTGAAGTGCCTTGGTGAAGATATCAGTAGTGTTGGCCCGAGTGGCCACGTAGGCAAGACGAAACTGACCACGCTGCTGTAACTCTCGAGCAAGGAAGTAGCGGAGAGCAATGTGCTTCGTTCCGTGCTCCAGTCTGTGCTCCTGACACAAGGCAATCATGGCCTTGTTGTCGACGTACAGCACTGGAGGAGAACGAGGCGGATCTCCCAGGTCGGTCAGCAGGTAGGTGAGCCAGCGTAACTCCTGTGCAGCCAGGGCCCCTGCGTAGATCTCAGCCTCACAGCTGGAGTTGAGAACAGAAGACGAGCGGGTAGACCGCCACGAAACAGAGCCGGAGCCAAGGCTGAAAGTGTAACCCTGTGACGACCACTGCGTAGCCAAGTCGTCAGCCCAGGAAGCGTCTGCGAGACCAGTGAGGACAACTCGAGCCCGTCCTCCAAGCACGAGCCCCATGCCCGACGTACTACACAAGTAGCGCAACACCCTCTTAGCGGCGTCCATGTGCTCCTTCCGGTGTCTCCTAGGAGCAACATAGCGTACCAGGGTGCTAAGAGGGTATGCCAGGTCAGGTCGAGTGCAGGTCATCAGGTACATGAGGTCGGAGACCGTAGACTGGCCGCCGGAGGCTCCACTGGGTACCAGGAGGAAACGACCCAGTGAAGCCAGGTGGGCGGCGCAGCCTGCCCTGTAGAAAGGCTGTGCTGAAGTCCAGAGAGTGAAGCTCGTAGTCACGCTGAGCGGCGACGTGCAGCAGCACCCGAAGAGTGGTCATCTTCGGGGTCGGGGAGAAGGTCTGAAAGTAGTCAACTCCCTGTCGCTGACTGAAGCCTCGAGCAACGTAACGCGCCGGAGAACCTGGCGGCCGCTTCACCCTGAAAATCCACATGCCATTGACGATGTTCGCCCCAGGCGGGGGAACCTCGTCGACGTAGGTGCCTGTGGACTTCCAGGAAGCCATCTCTGCGTCCATGGCTGTCTGCCACTGAGAGGAGTAGGGACCCTCTATCGCCTCTGCGTAAGAGCGCGGGGTCGGGATGTTTGGTGCATCCGGGTCTCCCTCGGGTGCAAGCAGCATGGACACGAGATGAGGTAAAGCTGCGGTGAAACACCGAAACCCCTCCTGCCTGTCCTCAAGGACGTCCGTGCCAAGAGCACACTCACCCCCGACGGACGGAGGACAGACAGACTCAGACTCAGCAACAAGACTAGCGGCGTAGTCTAGACGACAGTGAACAGCAAAGTCAACAAGCTCAGCAACTAGGGCACACGCAGCAGTGGACTCAAACGAAGGGTCAGTGACAACAGTGGCCAGGAGACGCGTGTCAGTCGGACTAGCAGCAAGAAGGGAGTCAGACTCCGGGTCCGGACCGTCAGCAAGGGAGGACGCAGGAGGAGACGGCAGAGGGACACGCAGTGGAGCAGTGGACGGACGAAGTGCCATCCGGTGCGTGCCTGGGACAGGAGGAGGACGCGGACGCGGAACACGACGACCAGTGCGAACAGCGCGAACAGGCGACGCGGGACGAGACTCAGGCGACACAGGACGAGACTCAGGCTCACGACGCTCCGTAAGACCTCCGGTCGGCCCAGGGTAAGGAGAAGGACCAGGCAGTGGGGAGGCTGGCTGTAACTGCGACTGCGACTGGACAGGCGGTGGACACTCTAAGGGAGGAGTAGGACCAGTAGAAGGCGGGAGACCAAGAACCTGCTGAAGGAGTGGAACGAAGTATGGCCGCGGCCGCGCAGCGCCTCCAGAACCAGCAGAGACAGTACCAGTACCCCCAGCTCCAAGGTCTGCAACTCCAACTCCCGCAGCACCACCTGAAGCAACAACACTAGCGCCTCTAGCTCCAACTCCGGGATCACCACCAGTCTCAGCAGCTCCAGTACCTCCAGTACGAGCACCTCCGGGACCAGCGGCTCCAGCAGCACGAGCACCAGCAGTACCTCCAGCAGCTCCAGCTCCAGCAGCACCTCCAGGTCCAGCAGCTCCAGCTCCTCCAACAGCTCCAGCACCAGAAGGACCTCCAGCAGCTCCAGCTCCAGCAGCACCTCGCTGGAGTCTCTAGCGGCGAGCAAACCAGTCGCGCAGCTGCGGTGGAGAGAGAGGCTCCCGCCGAGACGAGGCACCTGTAGGAACTCCAGCAGACTCAACACCTCCAGTCTCAGCAACCGTAGGCTCACACCTCCAAGCTCAGCACCCCCAGGCTCAGCACCCCCAGACTCAACAACCCCAGGCTCAGCACCCCCAGACTCCACACGCTCAGGCTCAGCACCCCCACGCTCCGCACGCTTAGGCTCAGCACCCCCAGGCTCCGCACGCTCAGGCTCAGCACCCCTAGGCTCTGCACCCCCAGGCTCCGCACGCTCAGGCTCAGCACCGCCAGTAGCACCACCCCCAGGAGCAGCACCAGAGTCAACCGCTACCTCGACAGGCTCGACAGCGTCTACCTGAGACACACCTGAGGGAGCAGGACCCTGAGGGGGGAGGGGGTCTACCGAGGGAGGACCTGGTGTAAGAAAGAGCGACGGGGGGGGGAGAGGGGCAGTGCGGTAGGGGAAGAGACGGTAAAAGGGAACCGACTCGTCGAACGTGACGTCCTGAGAGGGCAGGACTCGGCGCGAGGTGGGGTGGTAAAACTGCCAGCCAGGCGCGTCAGGGACAAAGCCTAGGAAGACGCAGGGAATAGCACGGGCGGAGAGCTTGTCGGCGGTGGTATCGCGGACAAAGGCACGAGAACCTTAGACCCGGAACACCGACGCATCGCCAAGGAGGCAGCCGCATGGACCATGGAGGTACGCGCGACCTCCATGACCAAGCCAATGCGGCGCTCAGCAACCCCATTTCGCTGCGGAGAGGCCGGAAGCGTGAACGTCTGGCAAATGCCCTCCCCACGACAAAAGCTCTGCAGAAGGTCGGAGGAAAACTCTCCACCTCTGTCAGAGTGCAGACGCAGGACGGGAAACTCCGTCCAGAACCGCTCGCGGAGCTGGAGACGGGCAGCGCGGATCCAAGGGATCAAAACATCAGGGACCTCACCCTTGGTGCGCAAGGGGAAGACAGTGGTGTAACGCGAGTAGTTGTCAACAACCAGCAGGAAGTACCGCTCGCAACCCTGTCCACGGACACGGGCTGGGCCCCACACGTCCATGTGCAAGGTCTGCAGGGGAGCAGTCGTCGGGGGAAACGAGGAGGAGTGAGGAGCGGCGCGCTGCCGCCCCTTGACACAGTGAAGACATGGAGGAGCAGGCGAGGGAGGGAGGGGAGGGAGAACCTTGGGAAGACCAGAGACAAGGAAACGGCGGTGCATGCTACGAAGGCGCTGCACCGAGGGGTGACCAAGACGGTGGTGCCAAATGACGGTCTGGTGCGACAAAGCGCGACACGAGCAGGGGGCCGCTAGCTGACCTGACGCATACGCAGACGCAGCGACCTGAGGGGACACAGTAGTCAGTGTGTACAGACTCGAGCCAGGCGCACGGGTAAACGTGGCCAGGTGCCGGCCCGTCCGGGAGTATGATTGGACTGGTGTAGATACACACAAATGCAACAAAATAGCATGCGCACGGTATCACTAAACATTTGAAAATGCCCTGCGTGCAAGTTGAAAGCTTAAATTCTTCCACTAGTGGACAATCGTAGTCTCAAGCCTGGTAAGCACATATGTACTGAGTGGTGCTTAACTATTGTGGTGTGCTCAAAAAATTTGGCATGAACTCTGTAGTCCTCCTCAAAACTCCATCCTCATGTTCTTCAAGTGCCTTCTCTTTAACGCCTTCCATTCCAGTTCCAGGGGACCCCTGTGGAGAGAATAGCTACAAGGGCGATGGGGATTCGCAGCCCAGCATGAACCCGTGCGGCCGGTTCCAGTGCCAGGGGACTACAGCAAGCAGCAATAACTGCACCTGCAATATTCCCACCGCTACTGTGCAGCCTTTTGTGCAGGTTGCGAATGGAATTGGCTCCACATGTGCTTATGGTAAGTTCAGTGGCAAGGCAAAGGGTGAGTACAGGGCGTGAAATTTGGTCTCACTATAAATCATGTCTGCCTGTTGTAATATGCACATGTATTCACGTGTACGCAGTGCGTGCCACGGAGAGTGAGGGCAATGGGGTGAAAAACATAACTTCTCTAGGTCCCCTGTGCTCATACTCCTGCCTGTGGTCGATGTGTGTTAGAGGTCCCCCAGCTACAGTGGCCAAAGGTGGCTGGGAGTGTGCGGACCATATTCGCCTTCTTCTCTCCCATATTCGCCCTCATTTCATCTTAAATCCCCCGTTTATCTCAACTATCTGTACTAACCCCCAACCCACGTACACGTGTGGCAGTGGACGTGTGTGGAGCATACTTCAAGAACCCCTGCTACGTGGGAGCATGTATCAACGATGGCAAGGGCTCCTACTCCTGCATTTGTCCTCCCAACCACGTTCTGAGCACAACAGTTGACGGCTTCCCAACCTGCGATCCAAGTAGGTGACTCAAGTGTGTCTATTGCTCTCACTAGTTTGCTAGTGAACCTCCGCTTGTTTGATGGAGCTGCCTCGAATCCTGTTTCCGCTTCTTTCAAATATTCAACAGATTTCACCCCTAACTTTCCTCTGTCGCGCTCCCCATTCTGCCTGCAGCTAATACCACGGCCACCATAATGACAGTCAGTGGAGACAACTGGTGGTGTTCAGACATTCATCCACTAATTGGCCTCTCTCTAAGTGACTTCACTGACCAAAATATAGTGGGTGAAAAATTGGTGGGAGTTACGACACTTTATTCAGCGTTTGGATTGCACATTCCATATCACCTTGTTTTCACATCACTAGTCTTCCTTCACTGTACCCCTGAACTCTCACTGCACTTCCAGCTGGTTCCAAACTTCATCAGATATGTTTATATTAGGTATCCTCGTTTCGCCCTTCCAGCATACTTGTCTTTTTTTATGAGACCCCCACACCCACCCCCGTTTCATTCACACGACCCAGACCACAACGATGTGGTACTAAGGTGTGAACCTTATTCTCCAGGACCCAGTGAGGAGTGGAAGCCTTGCCTTTGTGGAGTGTGGTTCAAACCTCTGATTCATGCACGTGGTTTCCCAATGCAGGGCATCGATTGCAGCCAGCCGTTGCCCAAGGGCAGTGTTCTTCAGCTGGATGGTACTCCCGCCACACCCTGCACTGCCTTCTTCTACTCCCTCACTGTAAGACCTGCTGCTTTCTTGCCCACACCACGCCATGCACTCAACCAGCTTGCGTACAACTCAGCACATCGCAAGCACCAGGCACAAAATCACAAGCTGCAGGCACAAAGTCACTAAGCACATCGCAGGCACAAAGTTTCACTTTCCCTGCTTCTGTCCATCCTTCCAGGAAGACACCTGTGCATCCATAAGCTCAACGCTCAACTTCAATGAGGGAAGTCTCGATGAGCTCAACCCCGGCCTTGACTGCTCCAAGTCCATCAAGGCGGGCTGCTCTGTGTGTCTTGAGCGCAGTGCTGCCTTTGCCTTCACTGTGCCTGAGTGTGTGAGATACGGCACGCTCACTCCTCAAGACACGTGCGACCGGCTGCTTCAGAGGACCGGCACTTCACAAGGGAGTGCCAGTGAGAAACAATGGGCTGCGCTGTACCGCAACAATCCCGGCCTCACTTGCTCCGCAAACATCCCTTCCTCTGCTTCCGCTATCGGCAGCAACATTGGTGTGCAGGTGAGAATTGTGAGGGCTGGGGGGAGGGTGGAAGTCAGGCATGGAGCAGCAAGTAAATGGTGAAGAAGGGTACGTGCTCTTTGCACGGCTGTTGCAAAAGTATGTGCCTTGTCGCGTTTATCTCTATACTGCACTAGCTTGTTTGTTTGTTTGTTTGTTTGTTTGTTTGTTTGTTTGTTTGTTTGTTTGTTCTTGTTTGTTTGTTTGTTTTTTTTTTTTTTCCGTCAGTTCCTCCTACATCATAACTGATTTATGGATTGTGAATCTTATGATCCCAGATTTGCCTCAGGGCAGAGTATTGGTCTTTCACATTGGGCTTCTGCAAGAAGGGCAGAATGAAGCCAGTCCAGCCGTCTATGGCGTGCGCGGCTGCTTATCGCTTCTATAGTGGAGCTACCACAACAGCAATTGCACGGTTTTATGACTACAATCTTAGGTCCTGCACTGGAACTGTGGGAGCGAAGTCTATTTGTGTGCCGGCATCATTTTGAAGTGATTTCTGAATTACATACCGTATCACCCCGGATATAAGCGCAGGTGCGCTTATAATCAAACAGTGATTTTTAGGGGGGTGCGCTTATAATTGAGTCAGATTTATAAGCACATGCGCTCATATAATGACAATTACAGAATTAAGTTTTATACTCACCAAATTGTGCATCTCAGTCTTGCAATTTCAATCGAATCGAAACGTAGAGCGTCCCAAATCAGAGAATCGCGCGAGGGCGATTTTTTCGGCCACACAGGGGCGAGGACACGTCACTTTGCTGAGGGGATGTGTCAAGCTCGCCCCGACCCAATGTACGAGCCAGTCACACGGAGTCACTTGCTCGCAGCGCAGAGACACAGTCATTCCCGAGCCCCCCCCGTCAGCCCTTTTTACGCTCGCACAACGCAGACAGTCGTTCTCAGCGCCTCTCTCTCCCCCCCCCCCCCCCCCTCCCCCTCCCAACCATGTGCTGTCGGTCAGCTTCGTGCTGTTTCGCTTCTCCTGCGTATCGCTCGCTTTCGAGTGAGTCAAACAAAGTAGAGACGGATCTGGACTCGTTACCCCGTTTTAACCAGGACTTACCAATAGAAATATATATGCGCTTATAGTATATCAAGGTTTTACAGGGGGTGCGCTTATAATCGAGGATCGGCCATAAGCGCATTGCTCCAGATATATGCGCATGCGCTTAACATAGGCCTGCGCTTATATCCGGGGTGATACGGTATACATACCATACGCAGGCCCTATCTTATCAGTCTAAAAGATTCTGATTTTCCTGAAAAAAAAAAAAAAAAAAAAAAAAAAACACAAGTTCTCGCTGTAACACTGAGACATCAGTATCAGGCAGTTTCTGGCTCAAAAAATCGGTATAAGTTATCACAACCACATTGAGCAATTACTGTAGCGGTGTTTTGTGGACTCTGACTCGTTAGTATAATCATTGGGACCACACTGTTCTTTCCCCCCCTGAAAATGTTTAGGCAGAGGTACCGTTGCTCTGCAAGACGAGGTCGGGAAGCAAGTCCTCGTCCCCTGCGTACTCTACGTTCCGAATATGCATGCGAACCTGTTGTCTGCTAGCCAGCTCAAGGAGAATGGTGTGACAGCGGAGAGATGCTGTTAGTGTCTTCTGTCGGCGATGTCCTTGGTCGAGCACGCTACTCTGGCAGAGTTCTCTGCACCGACCTGCGCCCCTGCTCGACGAAGTCGACGACGACTTCGACGGAGGTTGTGGCTCTGCGGACGATCGCGTCGGCGACGAAGTCGACTCCAGACATGTGGTACGCAAGGCTCGCGCACGTCGGCGTCGACACGATCAAGACCTCGGCGAAGCATGAGGTCGTCGCCAGTCTGGACATCAAGAAGTTGACCGCAGATAATCTGCCGTGTGCATCCTGCATCGGCAGCAAGCTTGCGCGGCACACCTTCCCCGACCAAGGATCAGTTGCCAAAAACACGCTTGATGTGGTGCATATCGACCTTTGCGGACCGTTCCCAGTGGCCGTCAATGATGGCAGCCTCTACTTTCATGTGCTGAAGGACCGGAAGACTTGTTACGTGTGGGTGAGGCCGATCGCAAAGAAGAACGACGTGCTGGTTGTCTTCGGTAAGTGGTTAAAAGTTGTGGAGCGGCATACTTCGGAGACGGTGAAGATGATGTGTTCTGACCACGGAGGGGAGTTCCTTGATCAAGCCTTCACTGACATCGCCGAGAACAAAGGCATCCTCCACAATCTGACGTGCCCCTACACTCCGCAGCAGAACGGCATGGCGGAGCGCGAGATGCGTACGGTCGTAGAGGTCGTGCAGGCGTGAAGCATCACTGGTGGCACCTCGCTCTGCGATAGGCCATCTGGGTGCGCAACTGCCTCGAACGTGCTTCTCTGCCTCCGGGGACGACGTCGCACGAGCTGCTGTTCGAGAAGAAGCCGGATTTGACGCTGGCGAGGGTGTTGGGCTGCATGGTGCAGTTCATGGTCCCCGAGCAGCAGCGCGGCGGGAAGTTGGCGCCGAATGCTCGTTGGGGTCTCCACCTCTGCATGTCGCTGGAGAGCAAGGGCTGGGAGGTGCTCGACTTTACGGACAACAAAGTCGTCACGACGGTCGAGGCGATCTTCTACGAGACCCTGTCGATGGAGAATTGGAAGGCAGAAAACAAACCTGCGTCGATGAGGACGCCCTCTACCCCGCCGACAGATTCTTCCTCGGTAAACCCTCCACTCCTCGCCGCAGACGCCGAGCTTGATGAGGATGATGCACACAACGTCACCCCCTCCCCTCCTCACCCTGTTTCCCCGTCGGCGACTCTGTCGCCCTCCCCTCCAGCCCGTCGTCGACACTCTTGTGCAGGGACCCTCGTCGGCCCCCGGCGATGAGGGGAGACTGCATCTCCTGCTGCGCTGACCGGTTGCATCGCTGGTGGCCGACGTGACAGCAATAAGGTCGTAAACGGGCTGCGGCAGACGACAGGGGAGCAGATGACAGGGCGCCTAGCTCGAGGGCGCCTAGCTGGGGGGCACCGAGATCGATGGCGCCGAGTTCGGGAGGTCGACCTGGCAAGGCCGACCTAAAGGCGCCGACTTCGGCCGGAGGATGCGAGGAGACGCCAATTGGCTAGCGAGTACGAGGAGACTCTTACCTTGGCGGTCGTCGAGGCGGGCATCCGCGTCGTGTGGGCAGCGGAGCATCCTTCTCGACCTGCCTCTCCTCGACCGATGAACAAAGAAGGCGGCGTTGACATGGGCGTCAACGCCGGTGACCAGGTCGACAGTAGTGCGGGAGGCATGTCGAGGCAGAGAGGAGTGATTCACGCCAATGAAGTCGGCGGCATTCAGGGGCGCGAGGGCTGCAGTCGTCGACGGCAAGAGGCTCTTTGCAGGGCGACGTTGGAGGACGTTGGAGTAGTGTGACGCCAGCGTCGGGGACCTACGTGACGGCGGGTGGGATCAAGTTCGTGCTGGACAAGATCGCCGTCAGCGCTCTGCTGGTCGGCCGCCACGACCTCCTCACCTGGAAGGAGGCCATCGAGCCCCAGCTGGAGATGGCTGGGCTGATGTGCTTCGCCGAGGCAGCGTGGAGACGCCGCCTACGAGCAACCCCGAGTTGCGCGCGGAGTTCCGCGCCGTGCAGCTGCTCACCTACACGATCATCTCGCGGTGCTGCTCGCCAGGCGTGCATATCGCCTTGAAGTCGTGCAGGAGCTACGTGGACGCCGGCCACCAGGTGTGGCAGTTCATCACGTCAACGTACTAGGTCACCGACGACCTATACATTGGCCAGCTGGAGGAGCAGATGACGCAACTGCGGATGGGCGAGCAGGTTTCGGCAACCGACTCCTGCAACCGGGCTCGGCGACTTCTCGCCAACACGCGAATGGCCGGCGTGCAGTACTCGACGTCGTCCTACGTCACGCATGACTTGAGGGGGCTCCCGAGCGGCTACAACCTGATGAAGTGACTGTCAGTGGTTCAGGACACGTGGGAGTCGTTCAACGAGGACTTTCTGACCTCGTTCACCTTCTGGGACAAGGTGATGCAGGAGGCCGAGCGGTTCACAGCTCCTGCCGTAGGTAAACTACGCCGCCCCGACGAAGCAAGGTGGTCGACCGGGGCAGCGCGGCCAGCCTGGCGGCAGCGGAAGCGGAGGTGGGAAGCCGGCGCAGGATGCCGACAAGAAGAAGTCGGCTAAGGACAGCGGTCATGGAGGAGAAGGGCGACGTTGTGAATGCTGGCTATTCGACGACCCCGCTCATCTCTCCGTTGAGTGCCCCGACCGTAGTGACCGACGATGACGACGCCAAGGGAGGCCGCGAGAGGTTGGCCAGTTGTCGTCAACGTCGAGAAAGTAAGCCGCGCAAGGAGGAGTCGAACTCGGCGAAGGACGCCAACTCCTCTGGCGGCATGGGACCAGCTGACAAGGAGGCGTCGTGCTCGTTGGTCGGCGTCGTGGAGCGGACTATCTCGCTGGCACCGGAAGCTGGTAAGGACTTCCAGACGGTGG